TTCCTGGAGCTGGATGAAATCATGGATGCCCAAATGCCCAAGATCACCTGCCAAACCAAAAAACTGGCCCTGCTTCCACCTGCAAGGACTCTAGCGCTCAGACCGAGCCCATTAACCCTGCCACCCCCGCTCCAGCTGCTGTCCCTGTGGCAGCACCTGTTTCCAAGAAGCCAGATCCTGCTCGAACCAAGAGGAAGCAACAAGAGGCGTCAAACCCGCCCGCTAAGAGGACCAAATCACTGCTTCCAGCCAAGCCTGCATCTTCCCGTGCCCCCAACCCTGCCGTTGTTAGAGGCACACTCAATGGAGAGAAATCTGCGGCCCACATCGTGGTTATTGCAGATAACCCGCAGGCTGACCCACGGGACATCCTCAAAGATGTCCGCGCTACCCACACTCTGCCCCAAGGCGTCTGAGCGTCTCTGCGCACCAGGGGAAAACTGGTGCTGCACTCCAACACTCCCGAGGCCATTTTTGCCGTCAACTATGCCCTGGGCAACAAGCTCCAAAGCCTGAAAGTCCGGGAACAGAAGCAATTCCTCTCAAGAATCTGCCTTTTCAACGTGGAGGCGGAAACCGTTGGTGAGGACATTGTCAAGACCATCCTTTACACTGATGCCCTCAGAAGCTTCCTGGAGACAAGTCTGTCCGGGTGGCACACAGATCTCAGATCAGAAATGGCACCTGCACGGCCTTCATCGAGCTGAACTTGGCTTCCTACAAGGCTATTAGGAAACGTGGCAGGATCGTTGTGGACCACGTGATTCAGAACTATGAGGAGTCTGTTTGCGTTCGCGTCTGCAACCGCTGCTGTGGCTACGGCCACAACGTCGATAGGTGCACCAAGGCTACAGTCGCCAGCTTCCACTGCGCTTCTGGTGATCAGAGCTAGAGCTGCAAAGTTCTAGTCCTTACGCCCCCTTCCTGCCTCCTAACCTCCGCCGACCCAATCCGGCCTAACCTGCCTCTTCCCTGAGGGAGATCCTGTCCCTAACTTCCCCAGCCTGGTCATAGTGCCGTGCATATATTCCGCTTAACGCGGCTATTAAGGTTCAAAAATCTTTTAATTTTATTTAGCAGCCCCGTAAATAAAGATATTTCCGTTCCAATGTGAATTAGATAGTTATGAAAGAAAATTAAAAATATTAATTTCTTTGTGGTGTTGGTGAATACTTTGCTCGATGTTAGAATAGAAAGGTCTTAGCTTCCAACAGGTTATGGGCCCAGCAGAACGCTTCCCCGGCGCCGTAGAAAAATATTAGAAGCAGGGACGATAAAGCCAAAAAAGATAAAGCTAAAGAAGATAAAGCTGAAGAAGAAAAAGTTGAAGTTACAGCTAAAGAAGATAAAGCCAAAGAAGATAAAGCTAACTAAGATGAAGAAAAGAATTTGATGATTAGAAATTTTTGCGATTTGAAAACTGAACTTTATGAGAAGATGAACAGAAGATTGAAGTTATAATTGTTTGTGAAAATTTGCATAACTAAAAATTCAATGGTTGACGATTTGAGAATACCTAAACTGGACTGTAATAATTATTATTCTTGTACCATTAGAGCCAAATAAATTTTGATTCAGAAGGACATATGGGATGCAATTGAGCCTGGCTTTCCTATTGAAACTTCCGATAAACAAAAGAAGAAAGATAACCTGGTATTATCTATAGTATTATTATCGGTTGAAAATTCATTCTCAGATGATATCGGTGATTGCTGGTGATTGCGAGCGATCGATCGATGCATGGCAGATATTAGAGGACAACCACACAAAGTATGGCTTGCTTCACATATTACAGTTCCTGAGAGAAATTTTTAACTTCATCAAAAGAAATGATGGTTTGAAAGAATATTTCGCGAGGATAAGGGAATGTCATAAAAAAAATGGCAAAGTGTCACCATGGATTTAGGGATTTAGAACTAGCGTTAATTATGCTATTGGGATTACCAAAGATTTACGAACCGCTAATTCTCAGTTTATTACAGCAGAAAGATAAGCTATCAACTAGTGTGGAATTCCAAATTACTATTAGAAGAAAAACGATAGAACCAACATAATTTCCTCAAGATGATCCAAATAGCGCTTTTGCGGTAAGAAGAAAATATGATACATACAAATCACCATGGCAAGAACGGACTAAATTAGAAAATGACCAACAAAGGAATTATCAGAATACATGGACGGAAGGAAAAAAGGAAAATTATAATTATTCCGGGCAGATAAGATGTTTCAGTTGTGGCAAATTAAGACACATAGCTAGGAATTGCAGATTTGCCAACTCCTCAAGGGGATTTAACGAAGAAAGTGTGCTGAAACAAAGTACGTTAGAATCCAGAAATAAAGCCCTATTTGTAAATAACTTTAAAGACAATAACTCAGAGAATATCTGGTTTCTGGACAGTGGAGCTACTGAGCACATGACGTCGAACAGACTGAAAATGACGAATACAAAAAGTATTTCAACTTCAGTTGAAATGGCAAACAATGAGAAAATAATAGTATCAGAGATGGGTGATGTAACCATCAAATTCGGTCACAAATATGGAGGTGAAACCTTGTTCTTGGAAAACGTATTATACGTTCCTGAATTAGACGGAAATATTTTGTCTGTTGGAAGGATTGAGGAAAGAGGAAACAAGGTATTATTCCAGAATGGCAAGGCCTCTGTTTTTGGAAGTGATGGCGAATTAATTTTGAAATCTAATAGAAGAGGGAGGATCTATACAGTGGAAGAACTGAAGATGGCTAAAGTGAAGTCACCTAGTGCAGAAATCTGGCTCAGAAGGCTAGGACACATTTACAAAAGGGATCTCCAAAATGTGAGTGACACAGCTGAGTGCGATATATGCCTTGAAGGTAAAATGCGAAGACTCCCTTTTCCTTCCAAACCCATCGAAAGTAAGAGGACTTTATCACCCTTGGAGCTCATCCATTCGGATGTAGTAGGTCCCATTAACCCAATATCGAAGGGAGGGAGCAATTATTTTGTGACATTCATAGACGATTTCACTCATTGCACTACAGTATATTTTATGAGGTCTAAATCGGAGGTATTTGACAAATTTGAGGAATATAAGAACAGTGTTGAGAATTACCACAGCAGAAAAATCAAAGTACTAAGAAGTGATAATGGTACAGAATATGTTAACAACGAATTTAATAAATTCCTTAATGAAAATGGCATCAAGCGACAACTTACAGTTCCAAGAACACCTCAGCAAAATGGAATTGCGGAAAGAATGAATCAAACATTACTAAACACAGCCAGATGCATTTTACTTGAATCTGGAATTCCTAAATCATTCTGGGCAGATGCCATAAATACAGCATGTTACTTAAGAAACAAATGTTCTAGCGAGGCGATAAGTAACAAAATACCCGAAGAAATGTGGACCGAACGGCCAGTGAAGATTGAACATCTCCGAGTTTTTGGTTGTCAGACCTGAACATACAACGACCAGCGTCGATCCAAATTTGATTCAAGAAGCCGAGAATGTGTTCTAATTGGTTATCCGGAAGGAGTCAAAGGATACAAGGTTTGGGATTTCAGAAACAATAAGGTATTCGTAAGCAAAAATGTCAGATTTAGAGAAGACGTTTTCCCAACTAAGAAAATCGATAAACAAATTTCACCTGAAACTGTTTTTTTCCAGGTTTTACATAATAATTTTGAAGAAGACTATGAATCTGTAAATGAGGAAGAGACGAAATTGGTGGAAAGGAATCAGAAAGACGAACTTAAGAAGGAAGACGAAGAAGGCCAAAATGACGCTGCAATCCCAAGGGGATATTCAGGGACTGATGAAGAAACAATATCGGTAGAGAAAAATCTGAATAACTTGGAACGAAAAGAGGATGGAGAGCAGGCTTATGAAGACGAAGAACTGAGGAGGGAAGACGAAGAAGAAGACCAGAATGAAACTATAATCCCAAGAAGATCAAGAATTGCGGCTAGGCAAGGAGAGGATTGTAGATCGGCCTTCCAACATGGTATAATTGAACATAAGAGCCATCAAGATGAAATACCGTCATCATACGAGGAAGCGCTTAATATGCCCAAAGTACAAGATTGGCTAAAAGCTATGGAATGTGAAATGTCATCACTTCAGGAACACCGAGTATGGGATGTTGTTGATTTGCCAAATAGCGTTAAACCGATAAAATGCAAATGGATCTTCTCAACAAAACTGAATGAAGATGGAACACAAAAATATAAAGCAAGACTGGTGGCTTTAGGATGCAGTCAGCAAGTTGGGATACAATATTCGAAAACATTCTCACCTGTTCTGAGGGATGATAGTTTTAGAACCCTGTTAGCTTTCGCCGCCCTCCAGAACTGGAAGATAAATCATTATGATGTAGAGACTGCTTATCTTTATGGAAAATTGGAGGAGGTCATTTATATGAAGCAACCTCCAGGATTTGAACAACGGGGAAACGAACAAAGAGCGAGTAGGCTGAATAAGGCGATATATGGGTTGAATCAAAGTGGACGGATTTGGTTCGAAACTTTAACGAATTATCTCATTAAGATGAATTTCAAACATCTAGGTTCTGATAAGTTCATATTCACTTTTGAAACTCAAAATGGGAGGTTAATTTTGGAATTTTACGTTGATGATATGTTAATTATATCTTCTAATGAATAGGTTCTAAACGAAGCCATTAGTATTATTAAGAACAAGTTTAAATTGAAGAAAAGTAAAAAATTAAGTAATATATTGGGAATATAAATAAGACAGGAAGAAAATTTCGTGAGCATGAATCAGACAAGATACATAGATACCATACTTGAACATTTTGGTATGAAATATTCAAACCCATCATCTGTACTTCTTGACCCGAATCAAGATTTAGATAAATTTGATTCATTATAAAGGACTGCGGCGTATGATTATAAAACAACACTTAAAGTTTCACCGCATACGTTTCTTTTCTGTGAAAAATCAATATTTATTTCAAAGAGAAATATTTACTATTTCTAACTTTTTTGGATGAAGTATGAAAGGGTGAAAATATGTGGACATGGCATCTGCCCGGTAAGCAGAACGTTGTGGGTTCGATTCCCGCCCCTGGACACTTTTATTTTTCCGTTCGCCATTACTCTTCATATTTTCACCCTTTCATACTTCATCCAAAAAGTTAGAAATAGTAAATATTTCTCTTTGAAATAAATATTGATTTTTCACAGAAAAGAAACTTATGCGGTGAAACTTTAAGTGTTGTTTTATAATCATACGCCGCAGTCCTTTATAATGTATTATAAGTTACTTTAAGTATTATTTACGAACGGAAAAATACGTCCAGGGTAGCCTAGTGGACATGGCATCTGCCCGGTAAGCAGAACGTTGTGGGTTCGATTCCCGCCCCTGGACACTTTTATTTTTCCGTTCGCCATTACTCTTCATATTTTCACCCTTTCATACTTCATCCAAAAAAGTTAGAAATAGTAAATATTTCTCTTTGAAATAAATATTGATTTTTCACAGAAAAGAAACTTATGCGGTGAAACTTTAAGTGTTGTTTTATAATCATACGCCGCAGTCCTTTATAATGTATTATAAGTTACTTTAAGTATTATTTACGAACGGAAAAATACGTCCAGGGTAGCCTAGTGGACATGGCATCTGCCCGGTAAGCAGAACGTTGTGGGTTCGATTCCAGCCCCTGGACACTTTTATTTTTCCGTTCGCCATTACTCTTCATATTTTCACCCTTTCATACTTCATCCAAAAAAGTTAGAAATAGTAAATATTTCTCTTTGAAATAAATATTGATTTTTCACAGAAAAGAAACTTATGCGGTGAAACTTTAAGTGTTGTTTTATAAATTTGATTCTTCGGAAAAATGTGACCAGAAGAGATAACAAGAGCTTTTAGGAAGCTTAATGTATTTGAGAACAAAAACCAGGCCCGATATAGTGTTTCAATTATCAACATTATCAAGATATAGTAAAGATCCTAGGCAAATTCACATGGGAGCCCTAAAGCGAATCCTTAGATACTTGAAAGGTACAAAACATTTTAGTCTAGAATATAAGAAAGACATTCCCGAACTGAGAGCGTACTCAGATGCTAATTGGAAGGAAAGATCAACAGATGAGGTTAAATCTACCACAGAAATATCATACCTACTTGGAAATAATCTCATTTCATGGGCTTCTAGATCACAGGAGAAAGTAAGCTTGTCTACTTGTGATAGCGAGATAAATGCTTTAACGGAATGTATGAAGAAGTGCATCTACATTCAATACCTATGCGAGGAACTATTCAATATTCTCGAGCCAAGAAACTTTAAGGCCAAGATATTTTGTGACAATAAATCGGCTATCTTTTTAGCCCAGAATGGTCATGTGTCGAACAGATCGAACCATCTTGTAAGAAAGGTGGCATTCTTGCATGAATGCTTTATGAAGATATCCTTGAACTTCATCACGTTCGTTCTGATGAAAACCTTGCAGATTTTCTAACTAAGGGAATTGGAAGAATCAAACTAACCAGGATCTTGACCACTCTAGGCCTCCGATGAGGGTATCAAAACAACTTTAAAATGGAGGGCATTGTTAGCATTTTTATGAGTTGTTTTTCTTAGATTAATATATTTATATTTTGACCAGATGACCGGACGACTTTGCATGTATATATTTGGTTTTAGAAATGATGTAAGTTAGTTAGTTATTAAAGGAAATTAAAAGTGTTAATTTCTTAGAGGTGTTGGTGATCACTCTGCTCGATAGTAGAATAGGAAAGTCTTAGCTCCCAACAGGTACAGTTTGTTCGATTTTGTCTATAATCTTTACTAAATTGGGATCTCGACTTTGTTCTATACGAATATCGATGATCGATATTATATTTGGGAAGTCTTCTTGCTCTTCTGGCACAGGGTTCCTTGATAAAAAGTCGGCGTCTTTATGTTTGCGCCCACTCTTATAGACTACGGTGATGTTCAACTCTTGCAGTCTGAGTGCCCATCTAGCGAGTCGACCGGAGGGATCTTTAAGTCCTGCAAGCCAACATAATGAATGATGATCTGTAACAACTGTGAAATTTCGGCCGAAAAGATAGGGTCTAAATTTGGATGTGGCCCAAACAACCGCAAGCAGTTCTTTTTCAGTGGTAGAGTAATTCTTTTCAGGTTTTGTAAGGGTCCTGGATGCATAAGCTATTGGTCTTTCAGCACCTCCTTGTATTTGGATCAACACTGCTCCAATGCTATATCCACTGGCGTCGGTGTGTATATGGGTCTCGGTGTCTTCAATAAAGTGCCCAAGAACAGGTTCAGAGGTTAAAGCTTTTTTTAAGGATCTCGAAGGCATTTTCTTGTTCTTTATTCCAACAGAATTTGGCATCGTTTTTTAAAAGGTCATTCAGGGGTTTAGCTTTGCAGGAAAAGTTTTCAACAAATCATCTAAAATAAGAGCACAGACCTAAGAAACTTCTGATATCAGGTATACTTTTAGGAGATAGAAACTTCAAAATGGCTTCAACCTTTTCGGGATCTGGGTGTATTTCATTTTCATTGACAACGTGTCCTAATATCTTTAATTGTCTTGAGCCAAAAAGACATTTTTCATGGTTCACATTCAATCCAGCTTGTTGAAGGCATTCTAGAACAACTTCTAACATTTTTAGATGTTCTTCAAATGAAGGACCATAAACCACTATATCATCCAAATAGCAAAGACAGATGTTCCATTTTAGTCCTTTCAAAACGGTATCCATCATCCTCTCAAATGTAGCTGGGGCGTTACAGAGGCCAAATGGCATTACCCTAAATTCGTAGAGACCATCAGGTGTAATGAATGCCGTATTCTCTCTATCATGCTCATTCACTTCAATTTGCCATTAGCCAGTTCTTAGATTCATACTTGAGTAATACCTGGCCCCTGAAAAATTATCCAAAGCATCATCAACCCGTGGTAATGGATAAACATCTTTCTTGGTGATCTTATTAAGTCGTCGATAGTCAACGCAAAACCTCCGAGACCCATTCTTTTTCTTCACAAGTACTACAGGCGACGACCAAAGACTTTCGGAAAATTTAATTATATCTTGTTTCATCATTCTGTCAACTTCCTCTGTATGAGTTTCCTCTCCATTCCAGACACTCGGTAAGGCCTCTGTTTTGCTGGAGCGTGATCGCCCGTGTAAATCTTATGCTTTATTTTACTTCGAGCAGGTTGGGACTTCCCACAAAAATCAAAGACATTCGAAAACTTCTTAAGAACATTCATCATCTTATTTTGCTGATCCTCATTAAGATTCAAGTCGATCATTGCTTCTATCTTCAGGTCCAATTTGATAGTCCATATCTCTTCTTCTTGGATCAATTCAGCGCATTTCAAGGAGCATACGGAAACAACATCAACATCGCTCATGGTGCCAAGGGCCATACGCGAAGGGATCATGAGTGGTTTCGAGTTTCCGTTTGCTATCCACAAATCTACTTTCCCTTACTGAAATGTTGTTAGAAGGGAAGGCAAAATAAATTCCTTCCTTATTGAAAGTTCGCAATTTGGACAGATTAAAACATCTCTATTTTCTTGAAGTGGTGTACCCACTACTGATATCTTACAACTTGACTTAGGTGGAATTACATAATTATCAGCAGAGTATACACAAGGTTAATTTGGTCATCGTTTATTGGTAGTGTTTCTTCCAAATACAATTCTTGATGACCACAATCAATAACCGCTCTTGTTGCTTTGAAAAAAATCCCACCCCAAAATTATGTCGTGGCTGCAATCAGGAATTACGATGAATTCAAAGGTTGTGGCGATATCATTGATATGGACCTTTAGTGAGCAATTTCCCAAAGTTTTAACAAGCTTTCCATTGGCGACTTTAACAACTGGTCCAGTTCAACAAAAAATGGAGTTCTCAGACGTCTTCTAAACTTTTCTGAAATCACGGAATAATCTGCGCCCGAGTCTATCAATATTGTAGTTTCCAGTTCATTAATGTTCCCTTTTATACAATTCCGTTTTAATTTAGCAGACGTCGATGATGGAGGATTTTAAAAACCTACGGCCTCACCCCCCATATAGGTCGCGCATCCTAGTTTTCCTCATTTTGGCGTCGGGGTGAGCGGCTTGACAAACGACCTGCCCCTGGTGATTGGCTTCTTCGTTTTGTCATTCTTCCTCTGCCTGGGTATGGTGATGCACTGCGGCCAAAACCTCCGGGTCTAGGGAGAGTTGGAAAATCGTCATTAATCGTAGGGTCTTTGTGTGGTTGCATTGTCGACTGATGGAAGTGTTTTTTTTTTATACGGCTTCCTCAAATGTACGTCTTCTTCTCGAGAGTAACGCAAGACATGACCTGGCTTCCCACAATGGAAACAGATAGGTTGGTTATCAACCGTTCGCCATTGGTCAGATGTTCTTGGGGCATATGGAGTGTAGTCATCTTCTCGTCGAAATCTTGGCACAAACGTTCTCCTTTTCTGAGATTGAATATTTCGCCTTGTAATTGGGCGAGTACTTGTTGCACCTCCTCTTTAACTATGGCCTTCAATGAATTCACGTCACTTGTCCTAAAGGGTTCCACCTCGGTCATTTTAGGCATAATCTTTTGCAACTCTTCTTGGACAATCCGTCGAATCTTTAGGGCCAAATACTTCAAAGTCCGACGAGATCGGAGTCACGTTTGGTAATCTTTCATAAGGTGTTCTTTTAATGGGGCGTTGTATCATGTTCTCCAGCTTTCGACAGTTGTGGGATCTTTGACAATTAGAGCTTGGTAGAAATCTTCGGCAATCCCCTTCATCAAATGTCCAACTTTTTCTTCCTCCTCCATTTCGGGGTTAACTCGTGAGCACAATGATAGGATTTCTTGAATGTAATATTTAGTTGTCTCCAGGCTTTTGAGCTCTAGGTTTTTAAGGTCATTTTGGCTCGTCGGGTGAACTCTTCTTGTTGCCCATACAACTCACAAAGATTCGTCTTGAATTGAGCCCATGAATTAATAATGTCCTCGTTGTTATCGAACCACTGGGCGGCTGTTCCCTCGAGGTAGAATACAACATTGGCAAGGCTTTGAGTCTCATCCCATTTGTTGTATTTTGCGACCCTTTCAAACATTTTGATCCATTTCTGGGGATCTTAAGCACTCTCGCCAGAGAAAGTCGGAGGATTCCTTGGGATATGACAGGCGGAAGATTGTGGTCCAGCATTTGTTCCGAAAACTTCGGGAGTTTCAGAAGCTTCAGTTTCACCATCCTTGTGCTGCTTGGCAAATCCTCAAATCTGTATTGGGGTTGTAGACCTTGCAATCGGAGGCTCCTACTAAGTGCCGTCTTGGATTTACCCGGAATCTCCACCAAGAATGTCGCGTAGAAAATAAATTGAAGAAGAGAAGTCGATGTTAAAATTAGT